GCATCGGCCACCCCGCCAGCCCGGGCGGACCGCAGCAGCCGCGCAAAACACGTAGGACGGGACACAAGTTCGGCGATACGGAGGACACGGCAGCGGACAACAAGCGCAAGCGGAAGCTGTTCGAGGACGACGACTCGCCAGGTCCCTCCGGCCGCAACGCAGATCTCGGCATAGGATCGCCCTTCCGCGAAGCCAAGGCGCGCACCGTCAACGCGCAATTCGAGGCCTCAGCCTATTCGCTCGAGCGCCTGTTCACCGAGAAAGAGCTCAACATGGCCATGAACCAGGCCACGACGGCGGCATCGCACTTTTTCGCCAAGATAAGAAACGCCGATATAAACGGCGAGCCTGCGACCAACGGCACCAACGGCACCAACGGCGACCACGCCTCCGAGAATGGTGACGCGGGCGATGCGGACCAAGACTCTGACGACGTGCCCGGCGCAGTCGAAATGACACGCCAGGTCTCTTCGAACCCGCATGCCACCCGCGGTGCAACCCGCTCCGCACTCAATCTCAATATCGCCTCCGGCCAAATTCCCTTCATATACAACCCGCCGTTCGTGCTGGATGCGAAGATCTTCCAGAAGAGCAACGCTGCGGCCCCATCTCCTCCTGCACTTGCACCGCAAGATGTCGACCAAGACCTCAAGCTCATGCTCCGCGACGCACGACCCGACGACGAACTCAACGAGAAGCTGTTGCAGGCAGCCGTATCTACCGTACGCGCAAGAGAGTACCAGGTCCAGCCTCCCGACTACCGGGAACCTGTCAACGAGACAACTAGTTTCGTACGGAGTGTAGCTCCGCATCTCGATGTCGGCGGCGGCGCGCTGATGGGCGCGGGCGCAATGGGCGGCGTGCCGATGAGTGCGCAGAGCAGCATGGGAGGATACAGCGACGCAGGCGGAAACACGCCCCTAGGAAGGTTCGGTGAGAACAACTTGGCCGCTGGTGGTGTAGCTATGGCGCGCACAGCGAGCGGAAACGGACGGAGGGGAGGACGGCGAGGCGCGTAAACAACCCCCGAAACTTTTCCTCTGTCTGATCTACGTCGTCATTGATTTTGCTGTATACCCAACGGCGTTTGTGGGCATATCATGTTGCATAGGAGGGTCATTGTGTAACTTCATGTCTACGCTCTACCGTGATGATTGCATTCCGTATATGGCGCTCAATCACATCGTTTGTATACGATTTCGTCTGCGTTTTATTGTTATACTGTTAATTGTTCCAGGGGTCACGGTCAGGTGGGACAAAGGAAAATAGATAGGTTGCTCACACTATGATCAAGTTATAATCAAGTAATAGTTCCAAGTATTGTCACATCGATGCAGGAGATGGGGAAGTATGCGTGTGTTCATGTCATTAAACAAAGCGAGCCATCACAACAGCATATTATCTACCCCAGCATTACTCTCTCTTCCTCAGCCTTGTACATTCATCCTCGACTAACAGCTCTTTCGGCCCCGGTTCAAAGTTTCTTGAGCTTCCACCAGACCTACTCTTGGTCGCAAAGCTCGAGAATCAAATCCGTCTCGCCAAAGTAAGCCTTTGTGACTTGGCCCGCCGGCGTCTTGTCCCAAATGATGGCCTGTTGGAAATCGTCCGGCGCAAAGAACTTGACGATGGCGCCGCTGAAAGCATAGCCCCAGTTATTGACAGGACTGAGGTTGTAGTCTAAACGTCGTGTCCGGAATCAGTACATATCTCACGTGCATACAGTCCGTATACTCCGTATACTGCCACTTACAGATGCTATCCCCAGCGTTGTAGGTGTAGGCCGCGTTCAGGATCGGCTTGACCCCGTCGAGACCAGCGGTAGTCGTGACTTGAACACTGGTTCCAGTGCGTGGGTCACGGTACAGCGGCTCGTGCCACGAAGTGTGTGCAGAGATCTGCTGGGTCGGTTTGCGGACAGAAGCAATGCTCGTGACCCAGACAGGGCTATCGCAGTTGTTTTTGACTAAATGTTGGTGTGCGGGATCAGTGTATGTCTCCCATGCACTTCGAACCCTGGCATTGCTTACCCCAGAAGGCCGGTCCAGCTTGATCAGCTTCATTGGGGACGACGGGAGCGGCCAAAGCAGCGGCCGCGAGGGCGAGGGTGGTGATAGCGGTAGAGAAACGCATAACTGCTGGTCGGCGTGAATCGTTGGTGAAGTTATCCAAGAATCCTGAAGCGACAGTGGCTAGAGACGAAGAAGATTGAGACGATTGCTGGAGTTGAGGCTTGAATGCTGAGTTGTGGGCTTGTAGTTTAGATCCAGTGGCAGCAGCCTGCCTCTCTTTATACCTTGTTAGCCTCGTCCTTGTAGTCTTCATATAGTCATCCTGTGGCTATCAACCTTCCAGTGATATGTCCCAATATCGATTCATTGAGCAGAATTGGACTGTACACCCTACAATCCTAAGCAAGGGAGCACACGCGAGGAAGCTGACCGTCACGGCATGACAGACATGGTAGCGTATCCATTTCACATCCGTGACCGTCAACGTAAACAAATGCAGGGGTGTCTAGACAGGGCGTCCAAAGGATGGTCGAGATTGTATTTTTCCGGCGTGGTACAGGGCATGCGGTGGTACTGGGCCTTGCTGTAGGCACAGTTGAGTTGCATCCGTCTACATCATTGTTTGCTGGGAAACAACGTTGACGAATCGCAACCACATAATCCCGATATTACTATTGAAAGAACAAACGCTGGGTGGGGCACTGTTTATGGTGCAGTCAGGAGACTTAATGTCGGTGAGGCTCGTTAGGTTCCTAATAGTAGTCTTCTGTCGTGGAAGGAAGCAATTGGGCTCTTGGAGTAGCATATATCGACAAGTGTATGAAGTTCCCTCGTCGTCTCCAACCAAGCGGTTAGGCATCGAACTGTACTCTTGTGGTAACTTATACTTGCGTGCTCTGCGGGACTTTGGCACAGGCTGACGTAGCATTGCGCTGATCTCCCGGTATTGTTTTCAGTGAATCCGAATGATAGGGCATGTTCTGATATTCATCATGGTGAATTGCAATCCCGTTGACCCAAATTGCATGTCATGAAGATAGTGGCGAAACGTGATGGTGCAGTCATTGGCGCGAGGGGTGTGTTTGAAGTTGCGGTTCAGCAGCAGGGTGACGCGAGCGCGAGTTTTGAGCTCATTGTTCCCAAAGGAGTAATATATAGATGGGCAGTAGCATGCCAGTGAAGATGTGTGAAGTGGGAACATCTGAACAAGTCGAGATTACTAATATCTCACGTGATGTGCCCATGTAGACATGGCCCCGCCGTTAGGCCGAATAGCTCTGCCTCGGCTCAAGCTACTCCGCATTCCGCGACGTCAAGCCGCCTCGAGCTTCATGTGACCGTGATCATTTTCGAGTCGCGAGCAATCTGACATCCAATTGCTTCTCATCCAGAGTCATGTCAGCCTCTGCCCTCCGTGCAACGGCCAGGATGGCGTCTCGACCACAGCAACGGCTAGCCAGTATTCAAAGGCAATTCAGCACGTCCAGCCCGCAGAAGAAGGAAGTTAGAGATGCATATATTCTTTCTGCGAGCCGGACACCTACGGGAGCAGTATGTGACCCAAAAGGTCCTTGGAAGCTGTGCTTACAGGCTGCAGTTCAATGGAAACTTCACCAACGTCTCTGCGACGCAGCTCGGTGCCACCGCCATCAAGTCCGCCCTTGAGAAGTCAAAAGTGCCTGTATCCTCCATTGACGCCGTGTACATGGGCAATGTGCTCAGTGCAGGCGTTGGGCAAGCGCCTGCCCGTCAAGCTGCCATCTTCGCCGGTCTTCCCACCAACATCGAAGCCACAACCGTCAATAAAGTTTGCGCTTCAGGCCTGAAAGCAGTCAGTCTGGCTGCACAGACGATTGAGCTGAGCCAAGCGGAAGCCCAAGTAGCAGGAGGTTTCGAAAACATGACCAGAGTGCCGTACTACCTCAACCGCGCAAGCCAGCAGCCACCCTTCGGCCACCAACAGCTGCAAGATGGCCTCATTGGGGACGGTCTGTGGGACGTATACAACCAGATTCACATGGGCAACTGCGCGGAAAACACAGCCAAGAAGTACGAGGTCACGCGGGAAGAGCAGGACGAATTCGCCATTCTGACGTACAAGCGCGCACAAGAAGCGTGGAGAGCGGGTCACTTCAACGACGAAATCGCCCCCGTGACCGTCAAGTCAAAGAAAGGCGAGACAATCGTATCGGAGGATGAGGCTTATAACAAGCTCAAACTAGAGAAGGTGCCGACGCTAAAGCCGGCTTTCGTGAGAGATGGTACGGGAACCGTCACGGCTGCGAACAGCTCTTCGTTCAGTGATGGAGGATCTGCGCTTGTGCTTGGTAGCAAGGAGATTGCTCAGCAGTATGGCAAGGACATCAGGGTTCTCGCGAAGATTGTCACCTATGCTGATGCCGCCATGGGTATGTCTCCTATCGAATTTCCCATCCTAGATGCAATGCTGATACCCCTGAAGACCCCATCGACTTCCCCATCGCACCCTCGGCCGTAGTCGAGAAGCTCCTCAAGCAATCCGGCCTCTCCACATCCGACATTGCCATCTGGGAGTTCAACGAAGCCTTCGCAGCAGTCATCAAAGCCAACGCCAAGATCCTCGGTCTTGGGGTAGACAACGTGAATCCCAGAGGTGGAGCCATCGCACTTGGCCATGCATTGGGTAGTTCAGGAAGTCGGATATTGGTCACGCTACTCCACCAGCTTGAGGCGGGACAGTACGGCGCTGCGGTGATTTGCAACGGTGGTGGCGCAGCGACGGGTATGATTGTACAAAGAGTGTCACCGAGCGATCTGTAGACCATGATTTTTACCGTGTAGCGTTATAAGTGTTGGATTATGCAGGTAAGAACAAAAATAAATGATTTTACTCCTGTTTACGAGTCCGTAGGGTGTCATTTGCTTGGCTCCCATCTGAACGCCCTTAACTGCGCATACCCTGCAGCATACAGCAACATAACTCCAAGGAGGCAAAAACAAATGCTCAGACGACTTGGGCACGATTCGAACGTACGACCCCGGAGGGACAAGATTTCAAATCTTGCGCAATAACCACTCTGCCACCAAGTCTGTGCATCTTATTGAGATGCAATCAATACTTATAGATGGTCGTATAGAAAATAGAGACTAAGAGATAATGCCACGAGAGCGGTAGCATAGCAAACTACAGAGGCATGGAGGGGGGAGGTTGAATATAGAGGGAGTGAGACAAAAGCGGGTGGACGCAGTGTTGGGTGGATAGGTGCATAGTTGTGTCACTGAGACAGGGAACGTATATAGGCGGGCAGACATCTAAAAATATATTGAATACGATTGAATAATTGCGTAGCCTCTAGTGCCGACAGCTCTGTGTATCTCCTTCTTTCTTATTACTTACTACACTAGGCAAAAATTGTACAATAGTTGTATATCTCTACTTTGTATAGTGCAGACAAACTCTTAAAATGAAGTCCTAGGAACAAACAACAGTAATGAATGTGTATCCTACCTAGTGAAGAGGTTCTGTGAACTCAGCGTAAAGGCGGAACACAAGGAGATGTCATAGTCTTAAGTGCCCTCAGATGCACATGCTCGACGTGATTTCAGATTTTCTAAACATAAGTCTAGCTCATACAATAACCCATTACAATACGCTACCTACATTCAAGACACTATCTAAAGGCCTGTCCGTTCTGTAATCTCGCGCATTTCTCTTTACTATCAAATCTCAATGTTGCCTTCGATCCATCAAAATCAGAGTCATTCGAAGTACCATATCTAATATTCTTCCTCACAATATCTTTGAGCAGCGTCTTGACAGTCGCGTTCGGATTTGATTCCGCGAGCATTGGAGCAGCGAATGCCTTGACGATTTCGATGGGAGAAAGTGAGACGTCTCGGCCTAGCTTCCGCCATCACCAAAAGCCTATAAAGACGGATAGTGTCCAAAAAACGGTAACAGTGGCTGCGACGAAAGGGTATAGATGATGGGGTTGGTAGACGATCACCGTGTTGACTTGCTCCACTTCGATGAGTTCTTAATTCATTTCATTCCATGCTCTCAGGTTCTCGCCTTGGTAATCGGTATGTTCTGTTGGTACGAAAAGCCACCTCTCGAATCGCACTCAGTATATCAAATGTGAGATCTCTGTACCAGGTGCCCCAGTCGCTTTCCACAGTATTATATGCGTAGCTAAATACTGTAGAGCCAGTGTTGTCGATTTCGACATGTCCTAGTGCACCTTCGTATACAATCGTTGCTCTCGAGGTATATACCGCACTGAAGTAGAGGTATAGCCCTCCATGGGTGGAATAATTTGAGTCCTCGATTCGTCGTAATATTAGTTGGTAAGTATCCACGCGATCCGTTGTCCAAAATCCAATTAGGTGAAGAGATATGGTATCATTGATCATAAGGATGGGATATTCAACTTTAGCAAGTCAGATCTTGCACACCTTTTGTATAACATCAGTGTCATTATAAAACCTAAAAGATTAGGGTTGAGAAGTGACATGGAACTGAATTGCTCCAGGATCCCAATTAATACCTCCGTCGTAGCGGAACTCAATACAGAACGTAGTAGCACCGCCTAATATGCCGATGAAGGTAGTACTGTTCGTTCAGTTCATGGCGTATCCTGCGCCTAAAACTCGACCTTTACAAGTATCTCGACATCATGAATTGATGCTGTTTATCGTTCGTCTTTCGTTGATTTTTTCACGATGTCCGTAAAGTTGGAGGAAGTCGATGCTGGATTGCGTCTTTATTTCGAAGGCTCTTTGGAGAAGAGGTCCATTAATCTGCCTTGGACGTATCACAATAGATTGTTACCAACGTTCGGACAAAGGCGCGTAGAGAACTGAACATATAGCACGTGTATCATCATGAAGACTTGTAAACCCTGTTTTTCTTCTAATACTGCCGTGTTGGCCAGTGGAAGACACGGTTTGGACCAGGCAGTCGTAGAAACGGGCTCCGCTTGCATTAGATGAAACTGTCCAACCTTCGCGCGACATCGTACAAGTGGCTTTGCTAGGAAGGATAGAATCTAGTTGGTGTTAATGTAACGCTAGGTGAGGGGTTTGGTATTACGACAACGCCTGCCGTCGTTGCTTGCTCTCTGCTGTATTAAGATGGGCTCGGTTAGTATATTTCACCCACTATGACGTGAATGTGTAAGACAGTTTTGTGAAATGAAAATTTTGAAGTCGTAAGTATCCTACACTCTACGCTTTCTTTGGTTCATGCCGTGGTCATAGACAGCTATGGGTATCATCGTAGATCCGTACCGTGCGTCAGATTTCGACGCAGATTATCCATGAAGAATTTAAATAGCTTCATGGGAACAACATCCTTCCAAGCTTCCGTAGAGATTCGGAAAACTATTTCTCGGGTCCACCATTCGACACAGTCCTCTAGAAGACCATTTCATGCGGCTTCTCGTCACCTCTCAGGCTGAAGCTTGTCGACAAATAAGCCTCAAGATTAGGAACCTTTCGGATGTTGGCAACGATTGCCTTGTCCACCTTTTTCTGGTCCTCAATTCGTTGGGGGTCCGTCTCTTTCTTCTGAGCGAGCTCGCCATCCTTGAAGAACTCATCCTCGCCTTTTCCTTCCTTCTTCTCGCGCGACCAGTACTCGTCATTGCTGACACGGTCCAGAACATCGCTGTCTACACCAGCGACGTCCACGGTAGTCGAAGTGGCGATGACGTAACGGTGGTTGACACGTCGCAGCGGGACGCCATTTGACTTGAATGGACCGGTAATGAGGAGAACACCTTGGGAGAGTTGGCGGAGTAGAATGACACGCTTGCCCCTGAAGCGACCAGATAGGAGAATGAGAACTGTGCCGGGGGCCAGGGATGCTCGATACTTGGTTGGGTGTGCGGTCTTGCGAGCCTTCATAAATCAGTACAACTATATGACACATTTGCGCACAACACCTAGTAATTACTAGAGTGCGACTTCTATCACGGCATTTGAAGTTATCAAGTACACTCACCTTCTTCATCTGAGCATCTTCTTCGGCAGGGTAGTATTTGGACATCTTATGGTCGGCCATTGCGGGAGTGGGATGCGGAGAGGATATCAGGCGCGTTATTCTAAAATAGGGGGAAATAAAGCGACTCAATCTCTGTAATTCCCGGCGCAGATATCGAGTGGTCTTGTCAATGTCCAAGTTGCTGTCGCGACTCCAGCTGTGGGATAGCTCGCTTGTCCCAGCGCTAAACTCGAAAAAGACTAGCCTCTCTCCCTTGGCGACTTCCCGAGACCATTCAGATACTCAAGATTCACTGAAATATACATGGACTTGTTATATCATTTGCCTAAATCCACGCAGGCTTGCCACGCCCTAGGAGACGGCCACCTCCAGTCTAACGCTGCTGCATCATACGGTATTGACATGTCTATGCAAAATCCTCTCGCCAGGAACATATATGATGGATGCGTAAAGGCAGATAGATTGATATCGGCCAACAAGCCGTCCGCAAATACATGTCTAGCCTTGTTTTACAATACACATATACAAACCCGTACGCTGTACGGACGATGAGGAGCCATATAACATATGCATTGAAACAGTCTTTACTCTTTAGCTATCTCACACTTGCCACTTTTCATTGCACACGAGATTCTTCCGAGGATAATAGCAGCTGTGAAAATGGGAAACAATTTGATGGGGTTCTTAGTAGCGGTCTGCAGGCGTTTGGACACCTTCCATGTTTCTAGCGGCGTCGCGGCCTCCAACAATTCGGTATGCTCCTTTCTACTTGTTCAACTGTCTTGCTTTGTCATTTCCGTCCGGTCGCGGAAAGAGACCTCTATCGCTTCCTCTGCAACACCCCCCAACACTAGCACGTGAAACGCGCGCTGCTTTAGGAATGGAAACTACGGATGTGTTTTTCCAGAACTTTGGCAACTTCACATGCTCAGTCTCATCTCTATCACTTCACTCCCATCTCTCTTCCTTGCAATTGTCAATCTTTACACCGCTCGTCCTAAACATTGTTATTCCTTCAACTTCCCGACCAACAGTACTTCTTGCGCCATGCCTAATTTCAGTCTATTCAAGGATGACTCAAAACCGGAAGACCCCAAGAAGCTTCTTGTTCACAGCCTGATTCGTGATTTGGCCAGCCAGCTTAAGCCCGAGAGAATCGACGCGAATAACCAATTTCTCAAGGGGTTTCTCGATGCCAAAGCCACGGGTGGACTGGTCAATGACAAGAGCTACGTGGTACGGTACATATGCTCACAAGCAAAATGATTGCTTAGATTATCTAGGGAGAGAGGCTGATACAAACTCTCGCATCGCTTCCGAAGGACTCGAAGTCTGCGGATGTCGGCGCAGGGCTTCTGTTGAAGGACCTGTAGTCCAACCTTCAGCATCCCCCATTGTCTTGCATGGGCGATTCCTGTGAGTCACGCCCCGACTCATTCTTTCTCGACGCTAATGTATAGTAGACAAGTATCGCACTGCAGATGGTTCCAACAATAACGTCCTATTTCCTCACATCGGCAAGGCTGGCTCCTTTTACGCTCGTACAGTAACCCCGAAGCATGTCCCGACACGGCTACCTGATCCCAGTGTGGTGTTCGACGCACTTCTAGCTAGAGAAGGCCCTCCTACACCGCATCCGAACAAGATATCCGGCATCTTGCTCGCGACCGCAACCATCATCATCCACGACATCTTCCGCACAAGCGATCAGGATCAGAACATCGTCAACGTGTCTTCATATCTGGACCTATCACCTCTCTATGGCGCAGATCAGGAAACACAGAATTCTGTACGGACATTCAAGGATGGCATGTTGAAGCCCGACACTTTTGCGGAAGTGCGACTGCTCGGTCAGCCGCCTGAGGTTTGTCAAATCCGCCTTGCACAAACCTTGTTGCTAAAACTTAATAGTGCCCGGCGCTGTTAATCTGTTACTGCCGCTTCCATAATTATATCGCCGAACAGCTGGCTATTATCAACGAAAATGACCGGTTCAGCCTACCAGCTGGTATCAACGAAGCCGACACAGAAGCGTATATCAAATGTGTCGAAAAGCGCGACAATGATCTTTTTCAAACTGCCCGTC